TTAAGTCGTCGCAGTTGTCTGCTTTTAAATATAATTTTCAATCATTGTGTAATATAATATAACTGAAAATATTTTTACTAATAAATACTGTACAAAAATATATAAGCTATTTCCTACGTTTTCTTAGCTTTTGTTTGCTTTGACGTAGCTATAATTAACGTAAATATATTATGATAAAGTTTGTTTACAAATAAAGTGGTGATAATAATTACGTGTAAAGTTCTGCTAACTCCGCCATATTGTAATGTCTGTCAATTTGTTGCTCATCAACAACTCGGAAGCTCATTGCTTGCTTTGTAACGGATCGGGAGTACACCTTTTCTTCCATTGTACCCTGAAAATGTTAAATATGTTATTATATGTATGGGAAATACGAATTTTCTTGAATTTTGCAATTTAACTATTCGATTGTAATGGAAATCGACCAAAGAAACTTTAAATTATTAAGGACAAGAAAGAAAGTTTTTTAACACGCCGAAGTTTGTATACCCTTGCAGTTTTCAATTAGATCATTATTATATATTTATATTTTTACAGGTAAACAGTTACAATTGTGAATGTCTTACGGATTAAAATTTTTTTGTACATCTGCCGATCGTCCTTATGCTAATTATCCGACTAAAAAAAATTAAATTAAATTCTTAAATAATACAAAATGATCATATCTGAAGATAGATCTAAATATTTTGGAAAAAACTGTGAAGCTATAATTTTGATCTACAAATTTTCAGATTTTTTTATGACAGCTATATAATATAGTTTTCGGATCTTATCCGTCCGACACACATATGTAAATAGCAGCAAAAATAGTAGCTTCGAATCTGAGGGTCTAGCTTGCATAGAATTTGACAGTTTTATAGACGGACATGGCTAAATAGGCTGTTGATGCTGAACCGTCGCACAGTAGCGCCTCTCGAAAAAAAGCCGTTGCAAAAATAGGAAAATTCATTATCGCAAAATCGTTTTTAACCATACACGTCTGCCGGAGGATTACCCAAGGATTTTTGTGGAAGATATGAGCCTTCACAGTTGAAATGGTTTTCGGTGTAGGCGTCATACAACAAAAAAGGGAAAATTAGGTAGCTTCAGGTAATAGTACACAAAAACAACATAACTCAGGTACATTCATTAAGGGGAGGCTTTACTTCGCCAAACTTCCCCACATGAGATCGCCGGGCGGATTCGCAAGCAAGGTGACGGAGACGCTTGGCAACAAAAGGCAACGCTCAGTCGATAGCGCCTGTAAGGCCTCACCGGGGAGCAAGCGGCAGCGCGGGCGTAAGAAGGAGGCCCCCCACCCAAAAAAAAAAAGACGAAGAAGCGAAGAACCAACAAGACCGCAAAAGTCAGCGAGGTGACCAAACGACATTTAATCGTGGCACTCATTGACCGCAGCGATGAAGTGGAAGACGGTGCATGCGCGGCTCGTTGAGTTATTGTTTGCACAGATGGAGGAGACCCCGAAGCTCCATTGCCCACCTTTGATGGTGCTGGATGACCCAACGAGAAAGTGGTTTCCGCAAGCGGTCTGTCAGTTGGAGGCGTTGTGGGAGCCAATCTGAAGGTGGTGGACAGGGAGCTAATCCCATCCATTCCTAAGGTGAAGGAACTCTTTCCCATCGCAATCCAAGAGGACCGTGCGCTGAAGCTGCTGCGGATCAACCTCCATAAGAGCAAGGTCGTGTCGGCGGAACTCCTCATAGCCATGGAGCAAGGATCCGCCGACAAAGCTTTGGTCCAGGAGCCATGGATCGCTTCAGGCAATGCCATCGGACTAAAGTCCGCAAATTACAATTTGCTCCATCCACCAATGGTAAGCTGGAATAGAACCGCCGTACTTGTACGGAAGGGTCTACACGGTAACCTTATGTCTCACTACAGCTCTGATGACCTCACTGTAGTGATGTAAGAGAGCGGAAAGAAAGAAAGCTTCCTGCAATATGGCACACAGCAGGAGGGCCTCACCAGAAGAACGTAGGAGCTTGGTAGAAGGAAGCCCAAAGACGAGCTGCTTAAGGGTGCAGACGCCAACGCGCATCACTGCGTATGGTGGAGCCGCGACATAAGCGACAGAGGTGAGTCACTCTTAGACTCTCAACCAACCTAAGTATACCAAACGTGGGGAACCTTTGTAGTTTCTACCTGCTATAACGTGCTAAATCTTACTCTTGTAAGGGGACAAGGTACTTTGGAATCAATGGAGAGTCCTTGGGAGACCATCCTTCTCAGATCATAAGTACATACGGTTCCAATACGCATTCGAACACTCTCCAAAACAATCGGTCTTCAGGAATTCCCGGAATACTAGCTCGGGAAAGTTCGAGGAGACTATCGCGACACGGCTTGCGACCCCTTCGGGCATAGTAGAATCCACGGAAGACATTGAAAAGTCCCTAGACACCCTCTCCAAAGAACTGCTAGATGCGTACCACGCATCATACCCAATATCGGACATGAGAAAGAGATCCAGGCCACGCTGATTGAATAAGGACCTTTCACTCCGACGAAACAAACTCAAAGAATTCTGCCAAAGCGCCAAGCAGGCGAAAAATGATATCATCAATGAGGAATATAAAGTCCTACTAAGGGACTACTAGAAGGAAATACGCAAGGCGCTGAGAAACTCGTGGAGAAACTTCTTCTGCAATATAGAGTCACCTCAAACGCCACCGCGGACAGTGTACTGAGGACAACTAAGAGGCCCTAACAGCACTAATGCATACGCATTTCCCAGGATGCACTGAGGTACCCGATGCAAATAAGTACCAGGACTTAGCAACTGGAGAAGAGCATCTCACAAAAGATCTAATATCCTCTTGTAGAATCTAATGGGCTATAGACTCCTTTGCGAGGATAAAAGCACAAGGACTAGATGGAATATTTCCAGCCATGCTGCAGATGACCAAGCAAGTGATCACCCAAGGGCTCTACGCAATATATACAGCAGTATATAGTGCAGCCATTTGAGCCCCAACGATTACAAACCGATAAGCTTCACCTCATTTCTACTTAAAACGCTGGAAAAGCTGCTGGACCTATACATCACGAAACATGTCGGGAGACTACTGTCGACCAACCAGCACGCCTACACAAAGGGGAAATCAGTGGAGACGGCACTATATTCGTTGCTAGCTACTATTGAGAGAGCCCTTCACAATTAGGAATATGAGGTCGTAGTGTTCGTGGATAAATCCGGGGCATTGAACAACGTTAGCACGGATGCAATAATGGATCGCCTAGAAGCGACCAACACGCCCCCCGCTATCAACTTGTGGATAAGAAATCCAATCCAATCAGATTGGGGCACCGCTTCCATGGTGAGAGGAACGCACAGGCACGCCGCAACGTGGGATTCTATCGCCCCTCCTATGGAATCTGGTGGAAGACGACCTAATCAAGAGACTCGAGAGAAAGGCACCAAAGATAACAGCTTATGCGGATGACATAACCATTATTATCTGTCCATCGACCCTCAGCTCGATCATGGAAACAACGCTCAGGAAGTTATGTGAGTGGCCGGAGAAGGTGGGACTCAATATCAATGCGGATAAGACGGACCTCATTCTCTTCACCAAGAGATACAAGGTGCCACAATGGATGCCCCCGAAAATTAACAGAACAGGCTGACCCCAAAAACACAAGTCAAATACCTCGGCATTGCTCTTGACAGCAAGCTGAAGTGGATGGCCAATGTAGAAGAGAGGGTGAAAAAGGCCACCATAGCGCTATATGCATCCAAAAAGATGCTTAACAGCACTTGGGTCTCTCACCCGCTCTAATGCATTGCTGTATGGAGTCTTAGTTTGCTGACAAGCCATGGAGAAGAAAGCGTATAATAACCTTATGGAGAGAACCCAGCAGCAGGCACTGCTCTGCATATCAGGAGCGTTGAGGTCAACCCCCACCAAAGCACTCGAAAGCATAATATCATATATCCCCTAGATATCCAAGCGCAACTGACAGCAGGAAAGGCGGCACAACGTCTGGCTGCATAAGGAAACTGGTCGCTACAAGGGTTCGGGCACAGTTCAATTGGTCGAGACATGAGCAGTACATCTGACTACATGATACCCAGAACGTGCCCGAATATAAACACAACAGTATTAATGGGACCAAATGACTGGAAGTCAGGCCAGGACCATGCTCAAAACCTCAATATATACACCGATGGCTCCAAGATAAATGGAGGAGTGGGAGCGGGCATATACTGTTCAGACTCTGAATTGAGGCTGTCATATAAGTTACCAAGCTACTGCAGTATATTCCAGGCGGAAGTATTCGCCATCAGGAAAGTAGCAGAGCTTGCGCAGAGCATAGACCGTCCACATAAGGCGGTCAATTTGTTCGGAGACAGTCAAGCGACAATAAAATCCATTCAATCATCAGCGATCAGTTCCAAAAATGTACTGGCAAGCAGGGAGTCACTAGATAGCCCTAGCACGACTAAGTCAGTGAGGATCTACTGGGTTTCCAGCCACCAAGGCATAGACGGTAACGAGACCGCGGACGAACTTGCAAAGGAAGGCGTCGGACTGGCGAGTGAAAGAACAGAAAACGTCCCTATCTCCCTAAGAACGCTCCAAAGCGAGCTGGAGAGACGGGCTGACGCAAGCGCAAAAAGCAGGATTCGAGGTCGAGGGCTGTGTCGAGAGAGGCTGCTGTTGAGAGCCTGCCACTGGTGTTTGGGATCCTCCTAGATTCTGCACACCAGTTGCGGTTTTTATGCGCCTAGGAGACTCATTTAATGCCTAAGGCTATTAAATTATCCAGCGCCAAGAGCATATCTTGAATCTTTAAGACCGCCTTTGGTCTGCCGCATGAACGACATCATTTCCCTTTCCACGTAAGCCGATGTTTTTGGCCACGTCGTCGACTGTCCGTGCAACAACACCAATGCACTTGGCGTGCACTATGTAGTTTAATTCTGTTTTGAATAATAAACACTAAACATGTGTGATATATGATGGTGGGTGGCGATTGCTAATTCACCAATGACAATATGAGTTTCAACACAATTTTATTATACAAGCGGGGGACACTAGTTGCTTATTTCGGCGGTCCACCGTTGTTGATGTACTCCGCCTGCTCCGGGTCGATGGGCTTGCGTGCAAAGCGGACCGGCAATTCGTAATCCTCGATGGCGGGACCGCCAGCCAACTTTTTGCCTCCCGCTAGCTTGGAACTTGCCTGCTGGTTTGCGGACTGGGCGCCAGGCGCCGCTCCACCGCCGCCCTTGCGGAAGTGGATGAGGGGCACTCGCTTGGCCATATGCACGACGAGAGAGGGTCGAACCATTTCTTTAAAGCACAATTTAGTTACGATTCCAGTAAAAGTAAAAGTTACGTGAATAAAACAGCTGACTATAAACGTTGTCACACATTGTTTCTTATGTACCAAAAGGCATTAGCAATCATGAGCAGAGCTTGGTTTTGAAATCTTTTGACCTTCAAGACGTTCGAGTCAGAATCCATGCCCCACAATTGGAGTCAGTAAGTCATCGAAGGCACAACAGTTGACTTAAACAGCAACATTGCCAAGGCTGAGCTTGCTCGTTGGTCTAAGCAACCAGATAGCTTTTTAAGCTTAGCACGACAGGAAGCTGCTACCTTCGGTGTGTGTTGCTTCCAGGTGAGCCGCTCTTTCGCTCTTAATCAATTTTATCTTTTTCTCTTAGTTAAGTTATCATTAGAATTTTTTTATCGTTTGTTGTTTGTTTATACTTCTATGTTCCTAAATTGCTTTGCAGATATTGAGCTTGCATTCCAAACTTTAGCCAAATTTTCCAGTGCAGGATGAAGTAAGGCGTTCCATAACTAAAAGCCTGATAAAAGTTATTAGTAAACATAAAATCGGGCTCAAAGTTGTTCATCTAAATGCGCAAAGTCTATTGCGAAAAATGGATGAATTCCGGTTTCTTTTTACTAATTCCGATGTAGATGTAATTTGTGTGTCTGAGACGTGGTTCTCACTTAATGTTTGTGATGTACTATTGTCGTGTGATGGATATGCTGTGTATCGTTCGAATCGCGTCGGTCATGCGGGAGGGGTAGCTATTTTTGTTAAAACAACTCTTAAATGTACTGTTAAATGTAGACAGCCCAGTGATTGTCCATTAGAGTACCTGTTTCTGGATATATGTTGTAAAAATAATAGAAATACGCTGATTGGCTGTATCTACCGACCCAACACCACGACTGAATACGAGCCACTACTGACAACAATTGCCGACTTATCTATGGTGTACACAGATGTCATCTTGGCAGGGGACTTTAACAGTAATCTGTTAAAGGAAAGACACCTTATAGATAATTTTGAGTCCTTGGGCTTCTATCCAGTTAATGATACGACGCCAACGCATTTCAGCGGCACCTGTGATACCCTACTTGACCTATTTTTTATAAATGACCCCAGCAAGATTTTACTTTATGACCAGGTTTCTGTACCAGTTTTTTCTAGACACGACCAAATTTTTCTGACATATGACACGTCCTTAGACTATAAAACAGACTTATTTGCCTATAGGGACTTCAGGAATATTGACTATAACGGACTCCAATTAGATTTAGTATTATGTGACTGGGAAACTATATATCTTCAACCTAACGTTGACATTCAACTCCAAATCCTAAATAGCAATATACAGTACCTGTTTGAGAAATTCGTACCTTTAAAACCCAAAATGTCAAAGCCAAGACAAACCCCCTGGTTTACTATAGAAATTAAGACTTGACGGTAAATTAACCTCTCTGCCCATAGTCCTTGATCAAGACCAGAATTTCCCGGATAGTTCACCAACGCTTTGATCCAAGTATTTCTAAAGTAAGTCGACACTACCATCGAATCGCTGCAGAATTACTATCCAATCGGGACCAGCGGTGGGAATATTCTCAGCTATTGCCAGCCTGTCTTCATCCCCGATTTTAACTAATTTAATATTGGGCACTTTCGAATGGTTTACTAATACAAATTGTGCATCTGAGCCTTGGGAATTTGTAGCATTTGAGGCAAGCTTAGTGTCCTCTTCTTCTTCCTCATATATTTCAGCGTCTTTTTCAAGAATAATTGCAACAGAAAAGGTGGTGAGTTGAACTGTGTAAATTATGCGGATTTGAGGTTTAATTAACCACTCTGCCTATAGACCCATATCATATACATAACTCCAGAACGCACCAACCGATTTCCATGGTTTTGCAAAAAAAAAAAAGTTATTCGTTTCCTAACATTTCAATTGAACACCAGCATTTGTCTTTAAGCTGGTAAGTTGAACTGTGAAAATTATGTGGATTTAAGGTTAAATTAACCACTTTGCCTATAGTTCAAAATGCCAAGAGCACGACGTTTGAACATCGGTCTCCGCACAAGGCATGCATGCCAGCAACAAGTGTGTTCACAGAACTTAAGCGAGGAGAGACGAAATGTATTAAGGGAAAATGCCCGATTGAGACAACGCGTGAGCACACGAAGATCAACTGGTGTGTAGCATCTAAGAGGATCCCAAGCAGCATGGCAGGCTCCTAACAGCAGCCTCCCTAGACATAGCCATCGACCTCAGTACAAATTTCAAGAATCCTGAGATAGAGTGCTAGAAAAGATTCGTTATCCGAAGGTGTCGCAGGTGAGACCGTGCCCCCGGTGTTGCCCATATCCGTGTTGTCCACTGGAGGGCCCCAACAGTTGTCCTCTCAGAGCCCCAGTTCCCTACCAGGGTGTCAGGCCCGGACTACCGGCCGAAATTAGTAAGGCGGATAATCAGCCTGCCTTGAAAAAACCCCTTATGGCAATACCACCAACGAGACAGTTTCATCTTTTAAAATATATGTTCCTGAGGGAATTCTTTGACAAACTATGCTCTGTCCAAAACTGACCAAAGCATGTGATTGTCAAGGAATTCGAAGCAAAGAAAGAGAAAAAAATGACAGTTGGAATTACTTTTCCTAGGCCCGATTTGACCAATGCGCCTTCAACGTCTTCCAATTCCGTCCCAAGAAACTAACAAACTTCTTTGGTATCTCCTATCAGAATGCTAGAGGCTTACGCAGTAAGCTTCCTAAATTGTACTCTAATAGTGTCACATTTGCTTCCCAAGTGTTGTGTTTACAGAAACCTGGTTAAAGCCGGATATTCTGAGCTCCGAAGTTTTTCAAGCTGTGTTCACAGTATACCGGCTAGATCGGACTATCACACATGTTCCTACATTCCTCCATTGTCGGAACTTCCTATTTATTGAAACCATACTTCCGCTATTCAGTTGGTCTCTAAAAGAATTTCGGATAGGGACTACTTAGTTAGTAGTTCTTGGTGTTTTTAACATCCCAGAGGCTATTTGGTGCCTAGATAATTCCATTAACCACAACACATCACAAAAAATGTGGTTTTCCAAAGAGCACTTCAATTAAACGGATAATTTGCCGAAGGTGGCGTAACGGAGTTCGCCGGGCTTACTAGTTAGTTTATATATAAATTAAATGTACTAGGTATTAAGTAGAAATCCTGTCTAATTTTAACCCAAGTGACCAGGGCATTAATAATACGTATTGTATACTTGTAGCACTGGGCTAATAAATAAATGAAAATGAATGACTGCGCCTGGGGTGCTTGTGGGGTGGCGATGTCATGGAGATCAACCCTAGGGAGAATCTTTCTATTAAGAGTGAAGTTGCAGTGCTGCGGCTTTCTATTATTTATAGCAATATTCCACCTGTTGGTCCACTTGCCGTATAAGTCCAGAAATTACTGGGTAATCCTTGAAGCTTCATTTCGACAGGAGGAGTTAACAAGAAATGCAGTGTCGTCAGAATAGGTGCCTAGAAGTGTGCCCGGTTCATTAGGACATGGTAGGTCTGAAGTGAACAGGGTGTACAGTACTGGACCCAGGACGCTTGCCTGCAGAACGCCAGCGAGAACAATACGAATGCTTGATCTTTCCCCTCTTACCTCGACCATAAAACTACGATCGTGCAGATATGACTTTAATAGAAGGAATTGGGCAGTCGGGAGTAGGGACTTCAACTTATAAAGTTAGGCATCATGCCACACGCGGTCAAAAGCTTCCTTGACATCAAGGAAAATAGCAGAGCTGTATTGCTTGTTTTCGAAAGCATTTAAAATGTGCTGGACGACTCGATGTGCTTGCTCTGGGCCCTTGATGCTGCCTAAAACCAAATTGGTGGTCGGGTATGGCTTCTTACTCTCATTATTCTACTAAGGTATACCTATTCTCTCGAGTATTTTAGAGAAAGTGGGTAGTAAGCTTATCGGTCGGTATGAGTCAACAAGGCTCTCCGTTTTTCCTGGCTTTGGTATCATCGTTATCACAGCACACTTCCATTGAGAGGGGAAGTGGTGGATACGAAGCATGGAGTTAAAAAGGAGAACAAGGAACAAGATTCCCTTTTTAGGCAAAGCCTTGGCAATTCTGCTGTCAATGCCATCGAATCCCGTCGCTTTACTGGGATGTAGCTTTCAGATATGAAGATAAACTTCTTCTGGGTTTACATGTTGGATCGGAACCGCTTCAGGGGAGGGGGCATTTATGAAGGCTAGGGTTTCTTCAATATCCTCGGGGTTCGCGAGGTCAACAGGCTGAAAGCGTTTCTCTAGTTCGTCCACAAAAGCTAGTGAAATCTCTGAATCAGACCTGAACCATGTGTCGTCAGATTTCTTTGTGGAGATCTTTCGGATGGGCTGTCGTTTAATATTCCGATTACATTTCCAGAGGTTGAAGCCGTTCGATTTGGTGGGGTCAGCGTTGAGGAGCATCTCATCAAAATATTCGCGCTTTGTCTCATACAAAAGCTTTTTGAGATTGTTTTCAGCGTGCGATACGCAGCTTTGTCGAATGGGTCTTGGGGTCTCATATACCTGCGCCAAAGAGATCCTTTTTACCTTACTAATTCCATAACATCACGTTTTAAAAGACCCTGAGGTGGGTTAGATTGGTTTGGTACTTGTTAAGGAAACGGCAGGTTGAGGACTCGGCAGCAGTGAAAATATTTCAGATAAGCATCTCGACAGCGTCGTTGATATTGACCGGAGAGTTAAACGCTTGGAAGCGTGGAAGATTCAAAAAGTTTTTCGAAGTCGATAGAAGAACATTGGAAGCTTCGTGGACAATATATGGACGCAATAGCTGTTTCGCCATTATCAGTTTTGACTTTAACTGCTACACATTGTAGGGTAAGGTGGGGTAAAGAAGACCTAGTAAATGGTTTTGGCTATAAAATGCTTATTTTACATCGGATCAAGTCGTTATATATACCAAATTAAAGGTTAGACTTTTGCGCAACTTTCTATGCATA